AAGCAGTTGTCAGGGCTAGGACAATTCCTGGTTTCAGCTCTGCTAAGAACAAGCTGTACCAGAGGGGGTCAAAAAAAAAGGTAAAAAAGAAAAAGCAGTGGTACGAATTGGGCTGGCCGCCTTTCTTGCTGTCTAACCGTGTTTTTGCACATTATTGCAGGCAATTGACTTTTCCCTTCAGGATTATGCCATGAAGCTCTCTCCAAGCAGCAGCAACGTGAAGTACTTGCAAGGCAAGAAAAGGTGCTGTTCTAGGGGGGTTAGCCCAACATCCAGACTCTTCTAAACGCGTTGGTTCACATGTGTCCGCAAGAATCTTTTTTTAACCTCTGCTTTCACCATGAGAGAAAGAGAAGCCTAAGCTGTGTTTAGGCTCTCACGATAGATGTAGGTGTTGCTCCTGTTGCTTTTGAGCACTGAGTACCTGAGATATCAATTCCTGGCTGAATACTGATTCCATTTTCACTCCCTTTAAGGAGTTCTTGTAACTCTTCATTTCGCAGTGTGGGTAACGTTTCCCTCCGCAGATTCATTTTCTCTCTCATTCCCTACGGGTAAGCACTACCGACGACTTCCAAGCCAGAGCTCTGATGGACCAACAGGAGCCGGAGCTGCCCAGACCCACACTGAAATCCTCGGGTCGCTTTACCGTCGAAGAGCAGGTACCTCAACACACACCACGAGCAGCCCCTGGCCCATCCGGGCCAAGGGAATTGGACTTTCCCTTGGAAGCACCAGTCCTCTGCAGCACCCTGCTCCCCGCGGCCTCTCCTCCCTGGAAATGCCTCCCCAGGACAGCACAGAGCGCACACACTCTACAGGGAGCCTACACGGGCTGTTTATCTTTTTATTTACAAATGCTTCGTCCAAACCACATAAATGACAACCGCATTTCTGAGGCCTGTAGGCAAACTATGTTACAGTGCGGGAGGGAAGAAGCTGCTCCCACGTGTAGCTAATCCTCTGTTCCACTCTCCGGCTTCCCCTAGCAAGAAAAATGCAAAAAAAAAAAAAAAAAAAAGGGCAGAGCAAGGATAGCAAATATTTTGTCATCACAGACACTGTTTTTATTTACGCATGGCCTTCATTTATGTACCTTATGCTTAATACTATAGTATTCCCAAAAGGAGTGGAGGAGGAAAACACTGTGTTCCCGAGCATTTTAAATCAATGGACATGAAATCCTCCCCAGAAGCCTTAAAAAGAGAGTGATCAAGAGGGGAGGGCTGGAAAGACCTCCCCTGATGAAGGCTGGAGGTGCAAAACTGCAGAAACCATCCTCTGAAAACTGGATTCCCTCCTTTGAACAAGTCAGCATTTGTTTTTCTCCTTCACCTTAAAACACTGAATGGGAGCGGAGGGGAGGAATCCTCTTCCACCATCAGGGTTCCCAGCACTTCCTAAGTGAGGTCCACGGGATATGAAATTCCGTGATTTCCAACACCTCGTACCAGCAAACAGCTTAAGGACTGTATCTCTATTGACTGAGGGTACTTCAACACACTCTTACACAACTCAAAAATCAGATTCTGGCCTGAAAAAGGATTGACAGAGCACAAATTTAAACACCAGCCTACATGAAAACAAGAGATGCACTGCAACTGATATTCTTAGCTCTTTTCCTTTCAAAATAGCAGTGGCAGGGCAATTGCAAGCGCATTTGTCATGCGCTTTTGCGTAGTGATTTTGTATCCAGGATAATCTACAGCTACCATTTCTTTTTTTTTTTCCTTTTTTTAGTATGCAGCGCTATTACAAACTTATCAGGTGTGTAACATACTGAACTACTTCACAGTCATAATGACAATCCATAAAATAAACACAAAGGGAGATTTTTGCTTGCAGATGTAGTTGAAAAGAAACCTCTTTTTTTTTTTTTTTGCAGTTTCAGTCAAGTTGGATTATGTTCTCTACATTGTTACCCCTTCAAAAAAATCCAACTATAAAAATGACTTAATAAAAACATACTTTCATATTTGAACATAGTTTGTACATCAGTTTCTCAAAGACCATTCTAGAAAAGTCAACTTTTTCAACCTGATGTAAGAAGAAAGTTTTTTTTTTTTTCCTTTTTTTTTTCTCTTCTGTGAGGTTTTTCCTAGGATAGAGTGGCTAAGTATGCAGCGCTATTACAAACTTATCAGGTGTGTAACATACTGAACTACTTCACAGTCATAATGACAATCCATAAAATAAACACAAAGGGAGATTTTTGCTTGCAGATGTAGTTGAAAAGAAACATCTTTTTTTTTTTTTTTTTTTGCAGTTTCAGTCAAGTTGGATTATGTTCTCTACATTGTTACCCCTTCAAAAAAATCCAACTATAAAAATGACTTAATAAAAACATACTTTCATATTTGAACATAGTTTGTACATCAGTTTCTCAAAGACCATTCTAGAAAAGTCAACTTTTTCAACCTGATGTAAGAAGAAAGTCAAAAGTTATGGAAAATCAGAGTAACAAAACAGTATAGTAAAAATAAGAACATCTGTAGCATATAGTGATTAGTTGTAAACAATTAAAAGAAAGAAAAAAAACTCCCTACAAGGCATAAAATAGTTCAAGCTATATTGCTACTGTATTTTTCTAGCAGGTGTGTTTTCTATCACAGTCTTCATTTTTATTACTATATATTTTTAAATAACTTATAATAACAATAATAATAATAATAATAATGAGTTTGCCTGCCAGCAGCCAACTCAAAAACATAATGGAAAAAGAAAAAAAAATAGACACCATTACAGTGGTGGGGAGAAACTCTCCCCAGCAGCCTACTTGTTGTGTCCAGTCCTTTCCCTTCTTAGCAATCCTGATTCAGACAAAGTTCCTGGCTATATTCAGCTTATTAGGAATTGAAGTTCTTCAATTCAGACTTGGGTTTCAGTGAGAGGAATGGCGATTTTTTTTTCCCTCTGCGACCTAGTATCAGCTCTGGAGTCCTAGCAGCATCAAGCTCCAGTATAAAGAACAGGGAAATATTCCATCCAGGTGTGAAATGATTCATAGGCAGCATCCAAGCTCTTCAAAGCCTTCTGTCAGCACCGTCTTCAGTCGATACTTCAACCGAGTGGGCTGTGATTTCATCTCAGCTGTCAGCTGTGAGAAGCTGCCTGCTTGTCCTGTTTATTGACTTGTTTCATCTTTGCTGACACGATATCTTGACTGATGCACAGTTCTCATTACTCTGAATGCCGCCTGGTGCACAGAAAAAAATAAACCAAGCCTTGCCCCTTAATAATCCACATAATGCAGCAACAGCAGAAGCAGCAGCCAGCTCATGTATCAGACTCTGCCCAGGAGCGTAGACCTGAAAGAGAGAAAAATAGGTAAGTAAAGACAATCGTTTGAATGCTGTACATCTTTTCAGATAGGTTCAGAGCACCCAGACAAGCATTCTGTGAAACTGAGGTTAGTGTTATCACAGTTTTGCAAGCCTGAAGTCTTCCTCTGTCCATCTTGCCTCTGCGTGTTAGCAGTGGCTGTATCTCGATGTGAGGAGCTCTCCCTTTCCCTCCCTTCCCCAAAAGAACTGGGATTAGTCAGATAGAATTGACTCTTCCTGGGATATCAGTATTTTGAAGCAGTGGAAGCACGTTTTGGCGGTAAAAATACAGACTATCCACATACCTATCTCTTTATCTCCATCTATGTGCCTGATCAGCTTTCTCTGCTGCCACAAATTCACATTTTTTGGATTTAATTGGCAAAGCAACAGCTGAGGCGCTGCCCTGCCTATTCATCTATTTTTCATAATTAGTAAAATGAAAGAGGTGACTGGGCTGTGTTCAGCCTGCAGTAGAAAAAAGAGCCAAGAAAGGGATTTGCTTAAATTTGTTTTTGCCAGCTGGAACTCTGAATTATGTTACCTGCTTTCACAAACAGATTTGCCCTAGAGTTATCTTAGTGCAAAACTCGTGCTTGCCTGAAGAGACATGCCAGAAGGGACGCAATAGCTGAGGAAATGTCTGCCTGAAAACTCAAGTGCTCTGTAATCGTTGTGAGGAAAGAGAGACTTCTTTGAAGTTTAGAAAATGTTTTTCTGATACTGAATGACACAAGAAATTAATCTCCTACCCCCTGAGGGAGAGGAGGGCTGAGAGGGTTTAAGATAAAGAAGAACCGACTGTGCTCATTTTTTCCAGGAGTCTAGTAACAGAGGGGAAATTCACACTGGGGCTGTGCCCCATCTGTTGAAGCATGTAGGCTGCCATTTGGTTTTAACTGTCTGATGCTAGCTCTGCATCCCATTCTCTTTATTTATTGATGTGAATAACCTTTGACACAAACCTCAGAGTCTTCCATCTGTCCTTTTCAATGTGATTCTCAGGACTTTCGCTCTCATAGGAAGCCAAGTAAAGTGCTGCAATCGAAAACAAATACAGTATGTTTAGGCCTGCTGGCATTTTAAAATTTGCTCTCCCTCTGAAGTAGGCTGGAGTTAAATGAAGCAGACCTACATTATCCATCCCTCAGGTTAGGGCTTCAGAACCCCATTCAGAAGTATAGCCCTGCTTATAATTACACCCAGACAATATTAACAAAGAGTGCGTGAGAACAAAGACTGCCCTAAGGGGGGAAAAAGAGCTAGTGAAAAGCTAAAAAGCCTGAGAGTGGAAGAAAACCTTCTCAAAGGAAAAAAAATGAGCCCAGGGCCATGGTTCTAGTGCTTTCTAAGCAAACAGCTAAGCCCCAGTCTTCTCTCTCAAGCAGCACCCTTTAGTGTAAAAAGCATCTTGGACGTTCATACACACACATATATATATATGTATATATATATATACACAAACACTCATATATATGTACCTCAGATGGTATTTATGGTATCTACCCAGATATGGTATCTACATGCCCATAAGGGTTTTTCATTCCATTTCAGAAAAAAAGGACAAAGTCACTTTTCACAGACCACATGCCCAATGAGAAAAAGCTCCTATTCTCTCCCTTATTTGTAAAACAGAAGCATTTTGTAGTTTCCCAGACAGAAATATACCGAAACAAAGACTTTCTTTATAAAAGCAATAACTTAACAAGGATAGAGACTGAAAAATAGCAAGTGCTACCTGCCCCACAGGAAGTTTAGAGCTCCTTACCATCATCACTGAAGACTGGGACAGTGAGCAAGTACTGCAGGATCTTGCGATCCCTTTCGAATGGACACTCCACTTGCTTCCATGTCATAAATTCACTCACTTGTTTAGCCAACTCCCAAAATTTCTGTCAGAGTAGAATAAAAAATGAAATAAAGGTTATGTAGCAGACAGCCTTTTACCAGAACATTAAAAAGAAAAGGGGCAGGGAGGCAACAGAGAGGTCTAGGTTTCAACCCAAGGCTTGGATCTCCCACGGTTTTTAATCTAGAACTGAATGTGAATGACTGCAGAACTCTGCTTCTAACTTTCGTGTTTCTATTTCAAACTGGAATGACTTCACACTCCTCCACCCTTGTAAAATGTCATTACTTCTGAATAGAAATAGCAAATCATCATCTATACTCAGTTTTCTTTCAAAGAGCTAATAACAGTACTATATCCCACTTCTAAAGTGATGATGCTTATTTTTATGTGCTTTGCACAGTGCAGTTTTTAATTCTCACTTCAAAAGTCTCTAGATGTTTAATGCTGACGTTTCTAAGTTCAGAAATTCTGTTTTAGTAGCTAATCTGAAACACTCAGCTTTCCTGATGGAAATTGATGCTAAAAATAAACATTCTCCTTGCCCTGATACCATTTCCAGATAAAATCTTTCAATTCAGCTTTAACATGCCTCACACACACTTAACTCTCTTGAAGAAAAGGATATTCCAGGTCATCACACAATGTAAACTGAGAAACAGGCTACAAAGGCTGATTAGAGCAAGTAAGAATTACAGTAATTTTGTCCAGGCATTTTAAAAAATGAAAATACCTGAAAACAAATCCTCATACTGTCAGGTAACTAGCAGGAAATCTGACCAGCGGAAGGGACGCACTGATGCTGTATCATACATTTCCTCAGAAATAATCTGCGACTTACACGGATGAAAATACTGTGCATATATTATGATCAAGGTCAAACCCAAATTCAAGGAGAAGCCCCCAAATTTTGTTTTGCACATACAAACTGTTGTTTTGTATATAGAAAATATTATTTTTTATTTTCTTAATTAAGAAAATATCTGAATTGGAATGTTTAGATGAGTGTGAGCACTGTGAAGGAGTTCTAACTTCTTGCACTAAAAACTGTTAATGGTGAAACAATTTGTATAAACATTCCAGCTCACCAAACTCTATTTTCCTGGCTTTCTCCTAGCTCCTGTGGTAATAGGTACACTCAAATTACAGTCTAATTTTTCTCTCTCACAATCCAACACGGGCTCAGCCATGATCTGCCTTCAGTGTTCCCTTCGAGGAGGTGATGACGTGTAAAATGCCCCACTCACAGTGCCACAGTGATCTACTTACTTCAAAATTGATGTGGCCATTCGGAAGACGATTGGCACAGCCCTCATTGAGGAAGTAAATATCTTTGATCAAGAGGCTGAAGAAAGGGATCACGATCTAAGGAAAGAGCAAGATTTTTGTCAGTTTGGTACTATACCACAACGTAACGCTCTACAGAGAGAAATACAAGGAGGCCACACAGTACAAAAAGCGTCACAAAACACTGTGAAGGACTGAGACCTGTGTAAAACGTAATGTTTGTCTGTAAAGAAAGTCCTCCCTCACACGGTGAGCTAGTCCCTACAGCTTCGTTGTCAGCTTTGCCTCAAAGTGCTTCCATAACCCTGACCTCTTGGTACGTCACTCTTTCAGGGTCACCGTTACAAGGTCTGTTATTACACCACTGCTCATCAGTTATGGCCAGGAGGTCTGGTTACAACAGCAATCTGCCTCCTAACTTGTTTCATTTGTACGTGATGCCCCTGACATACTCTGGCTTTTCATCACGCTTCCTTGAGGATTCGGGAGTGCAAAATTTGGAGGTGGCTGCTTCTTGCTCAGGCTTTACTAACATCTCTGGAGCTGCTGATAGCTGAGCGAAGATTTTGTGGGGAGCTGCGGAAATCATGACCAAAGATAAAGCCTGAAGGCAAGAGCTGATGCTGTCCTGTCATCTGCCAGGCTCCTCCTGGAGCCCTTTCGCTCCCTTCAAACTTTATTTGTTTCCACCCTTGCCTGAGCTGCATGTGCCTCCAGGGCTAGCAGACAAGAGCTGGAAGTTGAGGGAGCAGGAGTGTAACACATAATCAGAGCAGGCAACGCAACGGTGTGAAGAGGCATCAACCTCCTTAAAGCAAGGGGAGCAATTGAACCAGAGAAGCATAAAATCTCCCGGCTTTACTAATTTCAGTAAGAGCTGAGTAAATAGATGATCACGGAAAATAGTTTTTGGAATGGTTATTCACACAAAAATGAAGACAGGAAAACATGGGATCAGTTCAGCGGAGATAGTTTTCGTCCAGCAAGCAGTGATGCTGCACTGTCTTCCCAAAAGTCTCTGTTCACCTCCACGCATGCCCAGGTTCCTGCAGGGTATCTCCAAGAGCACCCATCTGCCTCCTGACAGGGATTTGTTTGCTGGATGAGCAGACATGGATGTTAAGGAACAGCATGGGAAGCCCAGGGCTAGCAGTCCACTACGCTGAATGGCTTTTGAACTACAGCTCCCTGAGCTCATGTGAGAAACTGAACTCGGCTGACTCGGATGGAAGCAATTCCTGTATTTGTATTTCCTGTATTCTCCAAAGTATTTGTCTTTGGAGAATGCCGAAGTTCCAACATTCCTAAAGAGACTGTTTTTTTACTTTTCAGAGTTACACATCCTTTTTGCAACTGGGTTTTAAACAAACAAGAAACAGTGCATCGCTATTTCCATGAAATATTTTTCTGCATCATTTCAATATATAGAAATACTTTGGAGTTTTAAAAGTCACTTTTCTCTGAAAAGAATTCAGCATTCTACATATTAAACAAACAAGAAACAGTGCATCGCCATTTCCATGAAATATTTTTCTGCACCATTTCAATATATAGAAGTACTTTGGAGTTTTAAAAGTCATTTTCTCTCTGAAAAGAATTCAGCATTCTACATCTAAACATCAGCAAACAGATCCTTGGGACTCAGAAAAACCCAGTATTTTACTTTCAGTGCGAAGCATCAGTATAAACAAGCAGACTGCATATAGATTAGCCTTGTCCTGCCTGGCAGTTTAATTTATTCTATAAGCACCAGAATCAGTTTTTTTAAACCTAGTATAAAGTGCAAATATTACAAGAAGTTGTTGAGCAGCTGTTTCTAAGTGGATTAAAACTAGCAAGCCATTTGGCTTCTCTCCACAAGAACTACAGTTAAGCTTCTGCATTAATGTGTAACTGAATCCAAATTACTTCTCAAAAGCCAGTTTCTTTTGATGGGGTAAATAAAGATACCCCCTCTGTTGATGCAAAATTTAAAGCTACAATTAGCAAGGGGAGTCTTTAACACGCTGTATTACATGGACATCTGACTCATCTCACCTTTTCCAGTAAGAAGCTTTTTCCCTTAGGAAATATTACAAGGTCATCTGGCAGAGGCTGTACAGGAAAGGAACTCTGCAGAACTGGAAAGTTCTGTCTATGTTGGTGCTTGTATTCCCTGTCTCATGGAATATATAGCACAAGAAGCATAAGTGCCAATCTAGACACTCTACAAATGCCTGTGTTTGCCAAAAGCTGAACCCAGTATTAGAACTGGAGAAACGTTTACAGAATAATCCCCTCCCAGCAAGAAGGGGATTGCTCTTCTCCCCGTAGTTTAACTCTGTAGATATAAGCACAAATAAGGAATGATGCTTTCCTGCATTTTGCCATGCCTGGCATTAGCCTAGAATGAAAATGTACAGACCTTGTTCTGCCACTAGTAACCTTAGACCTTGGCTGTTCCTCCTGCTCTTCTTTTTAAGCCCCTTCATTTTAAATGGTCAGTGTCCAATAAATTGCTGCCCTTTTTACAGTCTTTTTTGCCACAGAGAATCTCACAAAAAATCAATCCTGAAAGATGGAGGAAAAGGAAATTAAAAAGCACCAGCAGTTCTGTGTGCATGTTGAGGCTTAACTTTCTGAATGGATTTTAAAGTTTCCACCAAAACCTTTTTTTTTTTTTTAAGAAACAAAGCACTTAAAAGTGAGAGATGCCCACTGTCCTTTGAAGCCATTCCTTCAATATTTAGTATATGCTCTGAGACGCTTATCAAGATTTTTCTTCCTTATCCTGCCTATATTAACAAGAACCTGCCCTTTTGCTAATTCCACAAGCAAATATCATCATCCATAAAATAAACACACAGAACCAGAAATACTCACAAATATTTTTCAGCTCCTACTCAACCGCTTCCCCAAATTAGCCACCTCTGAACTTTCATCACCCACAGTGAGGCCAGCTGATCTCTCCTTTGAGCACAAAAACTCTAAAATGTACTCTCCCCAGTGCCTTTTTCCTCATCTTTCAATGGAGTTAATACTGTGAATGGAAGAGGTACTGAAGGAAGTCACTCGGGAGCTTTATGCAGGGCACACACTCAAAAAACACAAAATTCACAAAAATGTGAATGTGTGGCGACAGTCATGAACTCCCCTGAACATAATGGCAAGTTACAGAATAGCATAAACTAAAATAATTTGTTAGCTGTCCTACCAGCGCTCCTCAGCTCCTACTTACAAGTAGCAATTACAAGGATGATAAATTCCTCTAGTGACCTCCTTTCAATCCTTGGGTTTTCCATTTGTATGGTGGACAAGGAGGTCAAATGCTTTTGGTTTGGGAGTAGAGTTCTCTGTCAACTGAACGGAGGCAATGTATCATATTTAAATCATCAAAGCAGTCACTTAATGTTTGCAGCTTTTGGTCAGTACCAAGCTGGACTGGATTTCAACTGGCAATCTAGCTTCCTGAAATATTCTATTTACTTGCTTACTATTTTACAACTAATAGCTAGAGATTCTGAATAAAGATGGATTCAATTTTGAGGTTCATGATGATCACTATTATTTAAAAGCTCCTACTTATAATTCCTGAGAACCATAAATGAGACAAATCTTTTCCTGCAGCTTAACAAGTACATTTCATTTCTGCCCATGCCAAGTGATTTTTAAACGTACCTTCTCTCTGTTGCTGTGAGCTGTCAAGGACCTCTGAGCAGCTCCACGCAGAGCAGTTCGGTAATTATAAAAATTACTAGAAGGGTCCATCTGATGCTGCAGGCAAGAAGAACAGAAATAATGTCACTGCTCACCAGTGTCACTACTCACCCACGGCACTTTTCACTTGAGCAACATTTTTAAAAACAAAGAGAAACTTTGCTTAAAAGAATGTTCACTCAGCACAACCAAGAACGCAATACAAGCCCAGGCAGAAAAGCAAAGGCTGCCTTAATGGACTTTCTTTTTAATCTCCCAACCAAAAATGGGGAAAATAATCTGAAAGCCAAAACTCTGAACTCAGATGTAAAAAGGACCTTATCAATAGTATTCTGCCCCTCCTGCATATGTGGATTTCTCAGAACTGATTCAGCTGCAGCAACAGGCTAAAATTAAATAGCTAAAACTGTTAGTGCCTTCCCCATCCTTTTCCCTCAGTGCCCCAACACAGACTGCTGCAGCCCCTGGCTAAGATGACTGAATGGCTCAAGAAGTCAGCCCTTAACCAGCAAAATTCAGACTGCAGAGTAAGTTTGAATTAAATGGGGCTGTAATTGAAAGAGCTGCTCCCAGAGCTTTGCAGCCAACCCCAACGCAAAACCAGCTTGGCCCCATCCAAGCCTGGGGGCAGAAATTGCAAGGTGGCTGCAGCTCTCCAGGGCATAAACAGCAGAGTGGATCTCTATATTGCTCATAAATAGCCATTTGAAACAGGATAATTAACTTGTTGGTAAAGAAGCCGTAAGGTAAATCACAAATTCATAGGGTGCTGCACCTTCATCATCTTTGACAAAGATCTGAACTACCTGAAAGTCACTGTCAATCAATTAATTCAAGACAAATTTCTCTGAACAAAGCAGCTGATGTAGAGCTTAATGGAATTCTCAAAACCAAAACTACATTAGGTCAATCCACACCATCTATCTCAACTACATCTACCTTTCAAGAGGTTACTTACAGGGTTTTTTAAAACTTGTTCTTCCATTAAAAATAACAATTCGTTCAATTTTCTTCTTCTAAATCAGCAAAGCATAAGTTTGCTGAAAGATTCTTATGAAAACTTCTAAAATTTTCAGTAGGCACAGACACATACTAAACAAAACATATCTCAGGGAAGCCAAACTTGTACTTTAGGACCAAAAGCAACGCAAAGCGACGCACTGCTGACAGCCCTATGTCCAATACTGGCCAAACTTACCTCAAGGATATCAAATTTGGCTGTCTTCACTTTTGCCCAAGTTTTCTTTAATCGAGAGACAGGGCTCATGTTCATGCCAGCTTGATTTAAGAGAGAGAAATTGTTTGAAGATTTAAACATATTTATGATAAGTAAGGCTTGTAAGCATTTCTAAAGGAGTTACTAAAAATAACAAAATGGAGCTACTCGGAAGGCAGACTTTTCAGTTGCTTGAAATTCCGCTTTTAAAAGGAAAATTTGAAAGCATAAAAATCAGCATTTCTTACAGAATGAAAGCTCTAAAAAGCACTATAACATGATTTCATGTGGTTTTAATAAGCATGAACCATATGTAAGAAGACCAAAACGATTCATCTCAATACCTACAGATTTAACTGAAGGCTAAACTTGGCCACGAAACTTTAATACAAAAAAGGAATATCTTCTTACTGAAATAGGAAAGTTAGATATAAAAAATAGTGTAGATATTTTAATCCACTTCATCATGCAGTAGAAATAATGGAATACATCAGTTCTCTGTTATCAGAAATGTTTTTATTCCAATTTAGGATTAAAGTTTATTTTTAAAATTGGGGATTTAGATTTCTGAACAGTTGCAATAAAAGCTTACTTCTTACTGTAACTTAAACTACAACAGAAAATCTTTTTTTACATATGTAATACTAAAAAAGACAGTAATTATCCACCATTTCTTCTCCCAGCTTCACACTGCTGAATATGCTAAGCAGGAAAACGACTTCCACATAAAGCACTGCTCCTCCTTTACTCAGATGCAGTCAGAGACAAAAATTCTCAGGCCATATACTTACAAATAATAGCCATTAAGGAGTTAAAGTTGCCAATGTTGAAACATTCCCGGGCTACGTCAGTGAAATATTCTATCACTCGGGCTCTGTGCTTCTTCTTCACAGGCTGCAAGAGATGCCATTGAAACGTTGCTGCAACTGTTCAAATTCTTCTCCATATTATCCTATCCCTACACTGTGATTTACAAATAGATCAAACCATATAATTGTGTTTGAAAGCCCGCAGGACAGAAAAGATCAACTAGACAATGAGGCAAGTAAAGGCCAAGAAGGAGAGGTTAAGATGCTTTGCAAAGACGGATACAAGGAAAGGAATGGAAGAAAAAGCAGTCAGCACAGAAGGAAAAGATGTCTCCACTTACAACAGGCAAGGGGGGATGAGGAAGGGGCAGATGCATCCCCACATGGGTGGGCCACGCAGCACACTATGGCCCCTGCATCACAAATATGACATGCAAAACGGGCAACATGTTTGCTCTTCAGTCCCGTGCTCATAACATATCCACACAGAAGAGCTCCAGGCTCAGAGAACGAAAACGCAAAGGGCTCAGGGAAGGGGACAACGAAGCTAAGGAGGTTCCACAGTTTTGCCACCGGCACAAAGCAAAATGTTTTAGCAAAAAAAGTGCTTGCTCACCATACAGATTTCTGTTGCAACCAAGTAGCTGAGCCTGTTAAACCATTCTACATAGGCTTCCAGGTTACGGGTCTTCTTTCGATCTCCGTAGCAGCTCTGCAGGCAGAGGAAAAATTGCAGCTCTCACTGTAATCTTCAGTTTTGCCCTGAGAGATCCTTGGCCTCCTACCTTGCTATCCTCAGTTAACTGTTAACCCAGTTGGGTTACCTCAACTACCCAAAGTGTCAAAAGGTGAGAAGGAGAGCAACAGTGACAGCTCGGGCACGCACCACCTCTTCCAGAGGTGCCAGCTCCATATTCCAGCTGCAAGTCCTGCCAGGATGCTTTGAGGAACAGGGATAGACTTATGCAAACAATCAAAGCTAAATACCTGCTTAAGTGCTTCCTTGCATATGAGCACTGCTTTAATCCCAACTCCTATCCTGCCTGGGTGTTAGTGATAACTTCACACCCTCTGCAAAAATACAACCAAGTCCATCCCTTGGGCACCTTAAATTCAGTTGTTTGTACTCAATTAAAATACCGCATCCTAACTTCTGCAGATCAGATCAATAGTTTTGATTTGCTGCTCCTTTTGCTGCCCTATTTTTTAGTGCCTTGCAGTGATTCCTATACTACATCTGTCTGAAAAAAGGCAGGCAGAAGTTTCAGTGGTGTCTACCTATAAAACCATTCTGAGACTCTGACTGAGCTACAAATTAGAACTGTGACTCATTCTGTTCTGTCCTGTTTCCCAGTTTTAGGGAGATAGTAATTCCAATGTTAACTGTCTGATTTTGGCACAGTTAATTTACAGCATGAGTCACTTTGAACACAACACTCCAAGAGATAACAGCTCCAACATAGAGAGTTAAAAACAATGAGTCTTCTCCCTTCATCTCACGTGGATTTGGAGCTCACTGCCCATTTTTTATAACATATGCTCTATGTGCAAATTTCCCCTCTTGTAAGTTTGCTGCAAAAAAAGTCTGTTTCCTAAAAGGAAGAATACATATTGAAAATGAGTGATGCAAAAGCCAAAGCTTAACTAGATTTTTGAGGCTATAGGCCATATAGATGGCCAGGAAGAATCATTCCCAGGATTAGGTTATGCTGTAGTTTAAACCAGAAGAAATATGAGATGCCTTAAACTGAATGGATTTGATGCCACTGCAAGGCCAGAATGCGTGCTAAGCTTTGGAGCTCCTGGAGTTCTCCTCCAGTAAGAAGGAGCATCACAAGAAAAAAAAAAGAATTTTTAAGAGGAACAGGAACATTAGAACATCTCACTTCCAAGCCCATTTCTACCGGTCCTCAGTTGTTGCTGGAATTTCCTGCTCACTGATCCCCTTATCTTCAGCATCCAAGTGCTATATTTCAGAACCGCACCAGCTCCACCCCGATTACCTTGTCGTTATCCAAAGGATCCTTTTGTACAAAGGCCTGGACAAATTCTTCTGGCCCAATGTAATTCAGTCGCTCCTGAAGAAAGCACACAAGCAAGCAAGTCACATTCGATGTTACTCTTCATTTCCAGAGGAGAGGCAGGAAGAAATTGTAGCTGAAAGCTAAAAACTTACCAGCTCTATGTGCGTCAGCTGCTGAGCTAATGTGTAGGGATCATTGCAGACTGTGATTATGTCCCTCTGCACGGACTGGGGCTTGGTCTTTAGCACTGTGAGTCGATCTGTGGCCGTGGCACTGATTTTTGCAAGTACTTCCTCATACTGGCTGACAGTGGCAAGTTTCCGAATCAGGTTCTGGAGGAGCTGCTGTACATTCTTCCGATACATCTGTCATGACACGGAGCAGTCAGAAAACACTCCCAAAACACAAGAGGATTGCATTAAAGTCTGAATGACCCCAAAATAGACTGATGCTGAAACCTCTTTGTTGTCAATGCTCAACAATATGAGTTACACATAGCGTAAGATATGAAGATGAGATGCACTTTATTGTATGTGAGTTTGTAGCATTGTCATTTAACGAAAGTGAAAGGAATCCAAATGAGCATTTAAATACTGATTGAATCAGGGATTCAGTCGTGTCCTGGTTAGCCCAAGTCATAAAAAGTCTTCATTTCATACAGTAACTGTATCTGGAGTACTGTGGGACTTAAGTACATCTGAAATGAAAATACTCTGTCTCCTACTGCTTAAGACAGCAAGAAAGAGCAACACATGGTTATTCAGTGGTGAAAATGGATCTTACTTCTCTCAGGAGTCAGTCAAAACTAGTTTCCCTTGCCTGCTGAATTAAATCTTACAGTATATCTGTCTACTAGCTCCTTCATCCATGCAGCAACCTGAGCTGTAAAAACAAGATCAATTTATCACTCCTAGACCTTCCATCTGCTATTCTCTATTTTAAATTTAACAGGCACTGTGAGTATGCCCCTCTATTTCTGTACCACACCTAGACACTCTTGTAAAAAAAAAAAAAATCCTAAGGGACTAGAAGCAGAGAGAGGGAGTAGAGAGAGTCGCAGGACCCTTTTCAGCTGACGGTCACCTCTCTGTGTCTGTCCTCCATGGACAGGGACCGTGAGCCATTGCCACCTGCTAGATGCTGGGCAGCATATTTTAAATGAGTTCCCACAGTCGATCCATTCCACATGATTCAGCAGACAAAAACAAAAAAAGAAAAATGAAAAAGATCTTTCAACTGTTTGGGTGCATTTGGGATCATGAGACAGAGCGTGGCTTTGGTGTGACTCCATATATACTTATCACCTGTTTTGCAGAAGAGACTGGCAAATATTTAGAGGGAACTAATCAGAAGATGGGAGGCAATGGACAACACAAAAAGATTCAGAAAACATACCCTGAGACACACGTCAGTAAGTGATAAAAGGAACCAGAACCATCTAGAAATATCTCATGACAATGACCTCCGGGGAAACAGGAAGAAAGACACATAAGGAATGGAATGAAGTTGAGAGACAGAGGGAAAAAAAGACCCAAGGCTCAAAGACTGTGTTTTTGATGGGCTGATCTGCTAAGGTGATGAACAGTCTTTACTCGACGCTGACAGCTCTGAATAGTGTGGAGCAAAAGCATTCTGAATGTGCAGTAAGAAGCTGTAAATAATAGGGCCGTGGTGAACATGAACAGGGAAGTCTGTGTTTTTGTATCCTTCAAGGCAATGACTCACACAAATAAATCCAAGCAATCTGCAGCAAAACAAGGTCAAGGAAGTTGCCATTTGCTGCCCCAGCAATTCACCAGTCAGTAACAGGAGTAATTCTACTGTGGCACTTGCTTTCTCTTTGGTTGCCTAAAAGAAACTCCAAAGTCACCTCGAGGTCTAGCTAAGAACGATCTCTAATTCCCTGTCAGAGTGAGACGGTTCCATCCACCTCATTGCCTAGCAGTTTGTCCATCCTTTCTCCTCAACAGATGACAGATTCACTGTGCAGATTTGCTGAACGGCCAGAAACTCTTTCCTGGTTGTCATTTCACCCTGCTTTTCAGCAATTCCAAGTCTGACCATTAAATGTGGTATCATTTTGGTTTGTATCCCATGCCACAGCTCACTCCCTTCTCCCCTCTTCTTTTGTTCCTTTCCCTTTTCAGAAGACAGAAATGTATTTCAGCTTCCAAATTTAATTTAGGTTTGTTCTTTTCCACCCTTGTTTATAGCTTCTTAAGGGCTTTCCAGGCCCCTGGCAGCAACTCTTTACTCCTCCCAGCGAAGCTCACCTACCAAAGCTTGTTAACATGCTGGTTGCTGCCTCATCCACATTATTATTCAAAAGCTTATACAAGGAACACCAAGCCCTCAGCGAACATTATGCCATTTAGCAATTGCTCTTTGTGTTTATAGTTCTTCCAAATGACACTCCAGTATCTTTTGTAATTTTCCTATGCTAGTTAGACATCATCTATCTGTTTGTTGAACCCTTCTGATTGTCTCTTCACCATGTGAATATAAGCCCTGGTGTTTGGTTGAATTCTTTCTCAAGTCAGGCAACAGTTAAGCATCAGAATATCCCAAAAGAGCTCCATGAAACATTATTTCTATCTGAGAAGTGGGACTTAGTAAGATTAAGTAATTCTTTATGTGCACCCTTTAAAGGAAGGAGCACAACTGCCATTCTCTGAGCCCATCATGCGTGCTTTAAGCTCAAGAAAATTTGGTCTGGTCCACTTTTTCCTATATTTTCTCAGACCCGCTATGACTCTTTCATAGACTGCACAGATCAGAGGCCTGATTCTAACAAATGTTGCTCATGCAAATCAAAGCAGTTATCAACATAGACATGAATTTCTGAGAAATGCAGTGGTTTCCACCTTCATAGTATCTAGCTTCTTAACAAAAAACACTAAAAATGGAAAACATAACCATCTACAAAGTGATTTTCATCTGCACAATCAATATGAAATTATTTTATGGGGTTAGGGACAAGATAAATCCAGTGCTTTCAAAAGGATCTGTTTATGCTGCACGTGTTTTTCCTAAGCCAGACAGAACTTTTTGCTCTAAGCACCTTCTTAGTAAATTAGCTTAACCACCCACAGCCCTTCCACACTATTACCAACAAGAAACCAAAGCATTAAAGTAATAACTTTATATCCAACAACACTGTGCACAGACAACTGACCTCGTCGCCACTGGCTATTCGTTGTGCCAATTCCTTTAAATTCCTCATCATTCTTTCATCTCGGAAATCGTAAGGAAAAGTCTCTGTCCATTCAGTCAAAAGCTGTAGGATTTTGGGTGCAATTTTTCGTGTCCGGTTCTACTTGAAAAATAGTAAGGAGGAACGTTACGTGAAACAGCAATACAGTGTGTATTAAACCCAAAAGAAATGCAATTCCTATCTAGTAGGATACTGTGGAGCATAAGGATGTGAAGCTCAGTTAAATATTCAATCCTAATTTAATTCTGCACCGCATTCTCGGTCACTGAAGCCAATGAAAAGATTGTCATTGGCTTAACTGAGCTAGAAATTGGACCCCAGGTAATTTGACAATCTTGGGTTTATATCCGTGTTTTGCCCTTTGTTATCCAGGGGGATATATGCAAGACATCCCAGTATTTCCATAACCTGTGGCTAATTACCAGCTATGAAAGCGATAAGCTTCAGTTCTCCCGTATTCTCACCACATCACACAGTGAGAAATCAGTAGAATTAGTCAGGTTTCCGGTCTGTCTGCTATTGCTGAGGACTGTCTTGAGCAGCAACCTTTTGCTCTAGGCAGAGCAGAGACATTTGAGCGGGAGAGGAGGAGTCCTTCACGCTGCAAGGTCCTACCTTGTCCAGGCCAGGTTCGCTTAGTCTCTGCTGCTCGGTGCACAGATGGCAAACCCTGGCCATCAGCTCGTACGGATGCATGAAGAGCCGTGAACTGAGGAGGAAGGTGAAGATATACGTCCTCTGCACACAAGCACAACACAGAGAAAGGAATAAATCACTGCCAGCCTCATCTTCTCTCAAAATACATTTCAGATATATCGGTTCCTGAAACTTCACAGTCCACAGAACACGTGTGTTCATTTGGCTGTGCAAAGTGCTAATACCACAGCAATAAGCTTTTAATTGTAACTTGTCAGAGCTCCAGAATGGGTATTATACATTCATGCTCCAGCCGAGTTATGCAAGATTAAACCAAAACAAGGCAGGGCAGGTTTAGTTCTCCTTTTGTACACACTGTTCCAACAAGCTCAGTACCTGAAATTACTCAGAATACCAATTCAGCTCATCGTGCCTCGCTCTGTAGTAAACCTTTTTGCAAGGGCAATTACCAGATTATGTAACTCCTTCTAGCCCAACAGTGGAATCTAATTCACGCTGCAAGCCCAAGGTACTCATAATATAGATTTACAACATAGACTCCTGTCTGCTTCTACATGTCTGGTTCAAGTAAACAGGCCTCAGAAGACAAAAGGAAAAAAGTTGCCCCAGTGCCAGTTTGCCAGGTCACTGAACTCTCCTGATTTTATCACGTTCCCCATCTTTTCTGTGCTGATTCGGCCTGACTTCAGGAGACCACACACTATGATCTTGTACTTTGTACGAGCAGCCCCAAACGCTGCTCATCTCTCACAGTATTGACCATCTCCCAAGGGGAAGGGGAGGGAAATACAGTTTAATTTTAGAGATTAGCACTTAGTAACTCATTCTGGAAGTACAAGAGGAAGGTCCTTAAACGGATTCTTTCCCCCCACAAATTAGGATTTTAACTCATTGTGAGATGACTACTCAAAATACCCACAAAAAAGACTACAACATGACAGTTCTAGTGACTTGAAATAAATAACCTGCTTGACCAAAGAGCATTTAAGCAATATTCATTTTTTAATTTTTTCCAAAACCATGGTGCCAATTCAACATTTGAGTTGCTAGCTGCAAGATGCATGTCAACCTGAGGAAACGTAACTGGGAGGAAATGTTTTAAAACCCAATTATCTTGAAACTAAATATACCCACCAAGTCATGCTGGTCATCCTTTCTCCTCAGCCTGTCTCCTGAAGCCTTGTCTTTCTTATCTGATTTTTCATGGTCAGTGGTGCAACCATCAACCTAAGCCACACTAGGTACTTACTTTGTAAGTCAATCACCAAGGTTGTATGCTTAACAGCAGCACTAACAAGGAATTAAGACTTCTAAAGTCACTTGAGTGCTGCAAACTCACATGGAACACAACAGTTTCTATTGGATCACTGCTGGTCAGGCACTTGGAGCCCTTTTCTAGCAATCAGATGTGTCACACACTGTTGTAGCTGCACATCTGATAGTTTGCAAGGTCTAGAGACTTACATCAGGGTAGTAATCCACATTGGGTACTAAGTGCTGGATCAGAGCTTCCAGAGACCCTGACAGCAGGTTGTTGTCGTGGTAATTGAGTCCTCCACAGTTGTCCTCTTTTGACTGATAGACGTTCCTGTTGTATCCACTGCTGTCAAACATCGCTGTGAAGGGAGGTGTCTGTGGCATCCTTTCCTGAGGAAACACACACGAGAGAGAGAGACAGGAACATTATCCAAAGGCATAATACATGAGGCATTCCAAACTCAGATCTGGTATCACAGCACCACGCTAGGAAAATCAGCCTCACGCCCACATCATCATTCAACCTGTGCAGGTTTCTCGGGGAAGGCCACCGATCTGTTGCGACTACTGCGCCCTTCGTCTGCATCTTGGCGCTTTTTGTTAAATTACAGGTAAGGGATGGAAGTTAAGAGTGAGAAGGAGTGTGCAAGGATCTTGGCAGAGATTTTGGAACTCAAACTTTCTAAAAGCTTTGGGAGACGTGGCATAGCATGGATTGATGAGTCTGGGCAAAGTCCTGACAGCAGCTACATGAGAGCGAGACTGCGATGCGGAGGTATTTTCAAGTTTCTATGGGGCACACACAGACCTAATCAAATGTAGAGGGATAGAAGGTAAAATAAAACCATAAAGAGGTCATATATGGTGACAGGAGAGCCATTTAACTGCAGTCAAAGACACCATGGTTACATCACCTGTGGGTTTTCCCAATAACACTGGAACAGGACTGACCCAAGCCAAAACTTCCCACCTAAGAGCATCTGTCTTCCCTGATTCTCTGCAGCTCCCCAGAAACCTGGGATGTCAGCGTACAGCTGATTACCAGCACTGTAAGGAGAACTGGACCTCTGCTAAACCCTCCCTCTGTTTTGGGAGAGAAGGTGAAAAATCCAGCCCTGTGTTTTCCAGCCTCAGATGAGCTTAGAATTAGAGAGGGAAAAAAAAAAAAAAACCACCCTACTCATCAACCAGTATCTCAGGGCCTGTGGAATAAGAATGCTTTATCAAGAGAAATCTGATGTGCGTTCACCCAAATTAGCAAGTAGGTGGAGAGGGGGCAACGACCACCCAAGAGCTCTTTGGGAGATGCAGGATGTGCAAAGGCCGAAAGATAATGTCTCTGCTTGCCTGGAAGGCGAGTTCTGCCCTTCTTCCCTCTCCTCTGCCTTCTGGTTGCTCCAGGTCTTGGCAGTTTGTTAAAGAAATCAGGGGCTATAGCCTTTTCTGATTGCCGGGCTTCTGTCTGCTTTTAACCACAAGCACGTGCTTTTATTTCTTTACTTATATCTCCACTACCAGAGTTACTCCAACCACGGGTACCAACGACGCAGCCGCATTCAGGGAGCCGCAAGATCCATCGGCAGGGAATGGCACCCCGTTCCCACTGCCCTCCACAACTAGGAGCTAAGGGAGATCACATTCTGAAGACAAGTTTCACAGGTTGCTATGCTTGGCTTGGCAGAGTGTGTGCATGTGCTTGAGAAAAAGCTTTAATGCCTCTGAGCCATCATTGTAAGTGCAGATGCTGTTGCTTTTCTCCCCATTGTATCCAACCCTATTTGCAAAAAGGCTCTTTAAAGCCAGTCCTTGGTGAACACCGGTCTGTGAAGGCGCCCGATTCTGAGAACAACTAGTAATGTGACAGCCTGGAGATACGGAGCATGCGGCCATCTGTGTGCTCTGCAGCTCCAAACAAAGCACTTTTCACCAGGATCCCAGTAGCGACTAGAAGCTATTAAGTTATTAGCTGGATTCCTGGGGACCTAAAGCACTTCATACACAGCCAAAGACTCTCTGCTTCTGGCAGCATGTCTGAATAATGGAGGCATTCAAACCAGCACAAGACTAAAGGATTCAGAAAGTAAACAATAAGAGAAAGCTAAACTCCACTGCAAAGATGGAGAAGGACAGTGAACAGAGCCTCCCAAGCTGCATGACCTGCACTAATCTGCTTTTTGAGATGCCAGAAGATATTTGCATGAAAATGGGAAGGAGTGAGGAGTCTCCATGTCTGAAAAGTCACATTAGTCACTTTGTGCAGCTGTTCAACCAGGGATTCGACTCCTTCCAGCCCAATGAATTGCAAGGGGAGATGAATCAAATGCACACACGTGCCACGGAGTATGTGCACAATGTGCAGGACTGAATGAAAACAGGTTCTAGCAGAAGAGATGCTGGACAGGTAGACACAGTGAGCGCTGCACAATGATAAAGCCTCCCACCAGAGAAAGAAAAAATCTTTCAGACTCTTCACAAGGCTAGCAAAGTTCAGAAGCAAAGTATTAACAAGGAGCTGGCAGGGCACTTCTGCAATATTTCCTGGGCTTTCATATGGCGTAAAGGTCACCATGCTTTAATTGCAAGACAGACTTGAACAATTCCAAAATGTTTTTACCAAAATTCAGAAGTCATTTCAGCTGCTGTAAGTAAAGTTTCTTCAGCTGAAAGGTGAATAATAGTGGATACTTGGCAAATCGCACTGGCACTCACCTAACATTTGTAGCCCTGAGGCCTTCAAGGTAATACTCCACAAGGAAGGTGAAAAAGACTAGTTTGGTCCTGCAGAACCACTTGATATCACGTCTGGCACTGTAAAAAAAAACAAAAACAAAAAACAAAAAACAAAGAGAGGAGTTGATTTGAATCCAGAAATTCCAGAAATTCTGATTACTAACTCGCAAAGAGAATGAGATCTCTTGAAAGTCTTGCAGCCCGTTAGCTCTCAGCACAGCAAACTACCTCCACAACTGCTCATATCAGTTTTTGAACCAGAACTAAATGTAAGACATCTGAATCGAGGAGGGAAAAAAAAAAACATGAGATTAATCACAAATACACTGATAACAACACAATAAAACCCCCAAACTCAGATCCTGAAAAGGATATACAGGTTCACTTGTTGGCTGTGCGCTGATGGCAATCCCTTGGCAGCGATGGTTGGGTTTAAGAGAAGCTCTACACGCTGCACGTGCAGCCACGGGAATTTCACTCACAAGGAAAGGGGACACGGAACACGTTGCCCATGCGATGAAAAGGGATGGTGTCAAAGTGTGAGGGAAATAAACACAGCACAATCAACACATGTGCTTTTCCAGCAGAGCTCCTCCATCACCTTGGCCTTGACTCTGTTGCTATGTTTCATAAGGAGAGATAAAAAGCAGCATCATTTTGTTCTAACTAGCACAGGAGTTAAATACATAACACCAAGCTCTGCCTTCAAAATAACTCCAGGGGAGCTGAAATGCTGGTCATGAAGCAGGATCTGGTCCACAAAGGCTAGAGCAGAGGTGTGTGGGACCCTAAAACTAGTGCTAAACTGCAGCGATACAACATTCTCCAAAGCAGGGAAAAAGGACACAGGAAAAATGATTCGGGTGAAAAATATCCTGAGAGTTAAAACTAGAACTTGTACATTGAACTCTGAAAACATTTGGCTATAAAGAAAATGCAAGACACCTCTCTCTTTCTCTATTTTTTTTAAGTCGTGACTTTTTAAAAAAAAAAAAAAGAGAAGAGTGGGTTTTTTTTTAGGTTGAAGGACTGACTATAAGGAAAGAACACTGAGATCTTCTCCTGGCTCTGCTACTGCTGTTTTCTGTGACAAAAGCAATAAGGAGTTTTCTACTGGCAACAGTAGAAGATTACGTTGCTCTGGTCTCTCTTCATTTATCCTTAAGAATTCTGCCCGCACATCAGGCCTGTAAGAGCCATCCAACTAGATGGGTAGGATGGGTAGCTTGTTTCCCATCCTCAAAGGCACCTTCAAAGCCATTATCCAATTTCTTCATCTCTTCTGATACGTGAGGATCGTTCCCAGACACCCCAGGTTGTTCCTGCAGCCAGAGGAACAGCGACCAAGTTTGTTGGGAAGCCCAAAACGCATCTCCTCGTAGAGGATGCAAACCTGAAGTCTGGGTTGCTTCACAATGCAAACTCTGAGCCACGTTTAGGGAACAGGCATCCTCCCTGCTACACAGGCTGCTGTAAATAAAACCGGGGCTTAGGGAAATCCAGACTGCTGGGGGAAACAAGGACGAATCCTAACAGCTTGTGCCGAGTTGGGAAAGTGTGAACAAGCCCGAATGGGCCCTGGCTGTAACATATAGAAAGGAAGTTAAGAACTAGATGCTTACCAGCAAAGTCCAGCCTTATCTCAAGTGTTTCTGAGGTGTCTGTGGAAAGTGTAGAGCGTTTTATATCATGATCCAGGCTACCCAGAGCAAGGCATCCGAGGCACAGAGCCCAGCCTCTGCATTCCTTTCAGCTGGGAGCACTGACTTTGTTTACAAAGCCTTTGGGTTTGGCGCTGAAAGGTGAAGTGACATTTTTCAGATTTCTTATCTTCACAGCAGCTTGAGCTGTAATCTCCCAAATCGGTGCTTCAGGTGGCTTAGCTGCAGAAACTCAGCATGCAAACTATCACACCTGAGGTTTTCCTCCTTGCCATGCTCGTATGATTTAACTTCTCTTGCCACATAATTCGGACAGTATGACTTTTGCCCTACCTCTCATTCACAGTTTCTTCATCTATATCATCTTTTCTAGGAAAGCTTGAGAAAATAATTCTTACTGCTTTTATTTTCTAAGAGGCAGAGGGCTAGAAATGGCTTTTGTCATTGGACGGGACTTGGAAAGGGAAGTGACGTGAGCTTTTTCTTGGCTGAAATGGACTATAATAGAATTAATATTACTATACATATATATACACACACACACATAATGGATAATATAATTATATAGATAATACAATAAATGGAATATAATGGCAAGATAATAACTTGGAAGCAACCCACCATATATAATAGTAAGAAGGCTAAAACTTTCTGTGGGCAATACTGCTAGGCAGCGACGTGGCTGCGACAAACACATCTCGCAGCCCGCAGAGACTGGTGGCTCCACATCTCTGGCAGGACAAGCAAAGACCCAACGCACCCAGGCCAAGCCCGACGGGGTCTGGAGCCGCTTCGTTTGCACCGAACGGCAGAGGATGAAGAATTTTATACAGTTCTCCATAAATTAGCCAGGCAACAATAGCCTGCAAAGGCAAATGAAAACCCCAAGTGAGCAAAGAAAAGATGGCAAGATGGCTTTTCAATCAAAGGCTTCTTCCTCTTGAATGGGGAAGGAAACTCTTTTGTCATTCTTGGTATAAATAGACGCAGCTGAAGACTGGAGAAGGTGCAGGCACCGCCTCTTACATGAGAGCATTGGCACAGGAATTAAGCAGGTCCTGACTCACTCTGGACTAGGGTTAAATTCCTCGCATGCTGAGCTAGATTCCTCAGGACCCGTGTAGCTTATGAACACAACACAGCTGAGATTGTAGCTACAAAGGGAAAGCAACAGAACCAGAATTATAAACCCAAAAGACAAGGCACGAGGAGTAGATATCACCGATAAAGAGTAAAGGTTTGACAAATCTTTGCAGTTGCAAGAACATTTTTTAATTTATTGACACTTTCTTCATCTTGACAGTGCCCCTTCAAGCTAACACCTGTTATGCACTTTTAAATCACAGGCAGAGCTGTCCTCCTAGAAATGTGTTTGTTTCACCTTGCAAGTCTCTTTGATAGTCCGACATCGTATTTCTTTCCCGATTAATAGGTTTAGAACATGAGCCACCCAAGATAAGCATTCGTTATCAGTGACATGATGGATTAGCACAGCATAGGGTACAAGCCTCTAAGACGCCGGAAAAGTTGAGTCCACTGCACGTTCTGTAGGGAATCCCACAAAGCTCCAGTGATTGACACAATGGATTCAATGCACAGACAAGCACAAAGGCCTCAGACCAGCCAAAGCAGACCAGAGAAACTGCTCTTTCCTATCAAAATTTAAGGGAAGAGAACTGGAGTGAAAGCAAGGCAGCGGACAACTGCTCAGAAGCCAACTGACACAAGGATTGTATTAGCAAGTCACTCTCTGTCATCTCCTAGGATATATTTCCCTTTAGAAAAATTCCTAAATGGGCTTTCCTCTAGCCATCTTATTTAAAACACAATGAAAGCACAAGCTGAGCATGAGCTCCTCACTTCTCAGTGTTACATTTAATTCACAGTCCAATTTAATGGTGAAAACAGTTTACTGGCTGACCCAACGCAAAGCATCAACCTGGAACTACTCATGGCAAAATCCTGAAATAAGAAAGCAAGCATATTAAAAGGCCAAAAAAACATAAGCACACTAGTAAACCCTTATGTTTTCTCTAAGCTCCTGAAGCAGGGAGGGGGAATAGAATAAAACAGCATTCCCCCAGCTGCACCTACAAAAGCACCAAAGAATTTGGGCGTTTGTCCTGCCGAGGACCCGCAAGCAAAGGGCCGTAAGGCGGCGCAGGGAGGAGCACTCACGCTGCCCACCTCTCAGCGCAGCCCGTCGCGCTCAGGGCTCCCGCGCAGCGCGGAGGAGAGGACGGTCCGGCCACCGCCTGCGGAGAGCCGCGGTGCCGAGCGGGCCGCGGAGGAGCGCTGCGGGTCGCAGGCTGGAGCTTCAAGGCGAACGCCAGGCAGGGCCGATGGCCTTTCAAACGTCACGCTGTCAAGGGGGTGATTCAGCAGCTGATTCACGGCGGCTCAGCTGTCCAGGAGCAGGGTGGGGAGGACGGAGGGAGCAGCAGTGCCATCCGCGCCATGCCAGCCTCGCGAGTGAATCAGCACCCTGACTGACACTTCCGTAGCACATCTCACGTGTCCCGCGCGCTTCAAACACGGCCTTTGCTCCGTTTTTCATACGGCTGAAGAAACAGAAAGCTTATGCGGCCCATGTGGGCGGGAGCAGCTTGCCCCACGGGACCATCACAAGAGTATCACTGCCCACAGCACAGTACAGGCTCCTGCTAATGCCAGGGAATGGGACCCACTTCGTGCCAGCAGGACACGAACCTTCACATGGGCATCCATGGCCAACAGAAAAAGGATCAACTCAGAGCTTAGAGCTGGCACCTAGAAGGGTCTGGTACTGCTTCCGACTGTTAGGAACTTCTCACGTGGCCTTAGTCAAGTCAGATTCTCATTACTGCATTCCTCCCCTTGACAGTACAAAGAGGGATTAGGGCAGGGATATTTCCCTTCATTAAGTTCCAAGAGGTTTTTTAAAGGGGGAAAAAGAAGGTGCAAGCCAGTATATTAACGCCAGAAGCACAGCACTAGCCTACATGGTGCAGCTACCTCTCCAACCTCATCAAAACGAGATCCTCATCTCTGTGGATGCAGAAGCCATTGCTCCTTCCCGGCCTTCACACGTCATCCTTTGGGGAAACCCACAGTGCAGTCTCTGGTTTTGGCTTCAGGAGTAACTTCCTTTGCCACCAATGGTACAGAATATAACAACCTTTTTACTGACACAGACACACAGCTGGTTGAAAGCAATTCACAGTGATAGGCTTTGCAGTAGAAATATTTCTGATTAAAGCAAAACAGGAAAACATGTATGAAAAGCGTACAAGTAATGTGCTTAGACTGAAGCACATTCCTTACTTCCATTTTGGCAGTAAGGAAGGCACCCACAGCTCTCTGTGCACATCAGTAGTACTTGTATAACATCTGTTTATACCAGGGCTGAATATCAGCTAGTGGATTCCACAC